TAAAAAAAAAAAAAAAAAAAAAAATACTGTAGTTAAACAATTTAACGACGAACAAATAATTATTTTAAAAACTACGACGAACGATTGACGAACAAAAAGTTCGATTGTAAACAGTTTGTCAAAAAAGCGTTGCGAGTATTTTTTTAAACGGACAAGTCATTACGTTGGCACGGACTCGCTTAATCGGTGCCCGATCGCGGACTGATTGAGCCTGGTGGTACATGCTCGTTTACGACTACCGCCGGTGCCGTACTACACTAGCGCGCGGTCCGTATAGTTTATTCCCAACAGAGCGCCCCGTAACCTACAGCGACCGTGGCGGCACCATCGAGTCCGATCCACATTCATACCCTTCTACGCCATTTTGCAACCCCTCAGAAAAGCAGCTGCAATGACACACACACCCGCGGCCAGTTTTCGTACAAACGTGAGCAAAACATGCCGAGATCGGCAGTCGCCCTTTTGAAGACCAAAGAAAAAAAATCATCCCCGTTTATTGTAGTTGTTTGTTGTTTCGTTTATCAATACAAGTGATCACCAAAGTGGAGGTCTATACGAAGTATTGTTTGTGTGAACCACATCTCATCATATACCCTACACTCACATCACACATAAGTGTGGGTAATAAGAGTGAAAATAACACAAATTATCAACTAATGACTGGAAATACTTTTTTAATCCAAATAAAGTCTTTATTCTTTTTTTCGAAATTTACCCTTGGAGGGAAAAATAAACTTACTATACAAAAAAAAAATCATCCGTTTTATTTTGATTGAGTAAGCAAAACATGTATACAGTGCAAGTATAAATTCAAATCGCTGAAAGCTGTTACTGTTTTTGCTGATCAAAATATAGTCAATAATTTCGTAAAGCCCAACAATAATAACGCTGTTAGGTAAACTTTCAAGAGGCTTTTATAAATAACTGTATTTACAGTCTAACCGTTTCAATCATTGATAACTATAGCAAATTACGTTGAAATGGTTAAATCGAATGAAATCGTTCCAAATGTTTTCGTTTAACCCTGCAGTTATTCGTATATTTATAATATCCTATACCTGTATATATTCATTTTTTGCGAAAATAAAAATTAAACCAACCAATGAAGTGCATGTTTAACCTCAACAAAACTAATATATTTTAGCATAAAAATGCTTTATGTAATATACAAAAAAAAAAAAAAGCTAGTGCAGTTGGGTCCAGCATAGTTGGGTTTCTAGCGTAGAAGACTTCACTATAAAGAGCGACTGATTTATCGTTGACCAATAAATTTTTTTTTATATAGTAATAATTAAAAAAATTTTATAATTATGAGTTAAAAATTATATAATTCTTGTTTTATAAGTGGTTAAATGCTTTTTAAATCAATCCCTTAACCCTTATAAGGGTATCATCTTATATTTTTTAATGACAATATGCATATTTAACTAGCTCATAAAATAGAAAATAAGCGAATTATTGATAGCAAATTTCTAATGTTGAAAATAAAATATATTATTTTAACATTAAAGTAAAATAATTTTTAACTAAGGTGGTCATTTGCACATGGAAGGCGAGGTATTGGGATAATTTTTTTTTACCTGTAGTATATTACATAGGTTTTAATATATATTTAAAAATTGAAGTATTTCTGGAAAATTTACAAACGTTAAGTTGTAGAAGTTAATTTTTTATGCATAAGTTGCTATTTGGAACCCTCCTGTGGGTTGGTAAGAGTTTCAAAAAGTCTATCTAATGAAAGATACCTAAGGTATTAATAATAAAAAAAACTGTTTTGATTCATTAATTTTTCAAAAAAGTTTTTATAGCTTTAAGTAAAAAAGTTTAAAAAAAATTCGAAATTTACTGATTTAAAGAATCTTAACTTTTTGAATAATTCCCTACATTTCCGAGGAATAAGGGATATTTTTTAAATTTAAAGGGTTATGTATTCAACTGAATACAATTTCTAATCTTCTGATGTATCCTTCAATAAAATTGTTCCAGTAGGATCTGAAAAAGTTAGTGTTTGACACACACACAAAAAAAAATCATAATAGATAAAAATATTATAGTAAAATTATGAGCTTCGCATCGAAGTTAAAAAAATGAACAGATATCTCTCAACATTTTGTTCCTCGTGTAAAAAAAAAGTATATTAATTTTAATTTATCGATGAAATGATAAAATAATATTATATGTACCCGTTTTTCAATAATTATAAAAGTATTGTGAAAATTAAATTGTTATAAATAATTACATAAAGATAACTTTAATGCATAAAATTGAATACATGAACTATTTTTGTATACCGTCTTCATAGAAATGTATGAACAATTATTTTTCAAGAAAGGAAGGATTTGATAAGTAATTGACTTTAAGCACGCAGCTAATACAACTTGACTAGGATTTTAAAATCATTGTTCATCGATAACGTTGTGGTTGAGGAGTTGTATATAGAACATTATATATACTTTCACAACAAGAGACCGAACCGTTTAAATCTTGGCAAGTGGCCATGTTTTCTGAAAAGCCAACTATTATTTTCATTGTGTAGAATCACTGAAAAAAGAGGAATTGCTCGTGATTTACACAAGTACGTTTTTGGTAAGCACTTATTTGTTCTTGAAGAAAACGAAAGTCTATTATATTTCTCCGTATCACCTAAACTGCAGAACTTTCGACATCTAATATGAATCGAACAAAATATTAATAACATTTTAAATATTTCTCTAATCATTTTTCTACTCAAAAAGTATTTGGCACGTGACTTCTTATTATTGTTAATAAATATTAAATTCAAGTCAACGCAAAAATATATTGTTTTTTTTTTTTTTAGAATCCTTTGTGATATTTTCTATTCCCCCTTGTTATTATTTTCAAGACAATAGTATTTTAAACTTAAATCATATTTTTCCGAGAATAAATTTAAAAGAGAATTGGAAGAGGTTTTTCATCTTGACAGAATTATCATGACGACCGGAAAATTGGTACCAACTACCATCGTCTAATGTGAGTAGTATGCCTTTGATGTTCACAATAAATTATAATACTCGGCTAAGTCACTGTAGTGTTTACTGAATTGTAACAGTTTATTGAACGCATGATGTAATAATAGTTTTCAAATTATTAGCTTACAAAAGTCTTCCCTCAGCTTTTGACACGCAGATGAAAATATACAACTATTTTTCTGTTTGACGTCTGACAATGTGTGTTAGTACTGCTGAATTATTATTACAGTAGTAATATCGGCGAAAATATAAATAACCTTATTAATATAATTATAAAGTAATTAAACACTACAGTAATCATGAAAAACAAGGGATTTTGTGATTTATAACATAATGTTTCTGGTTGAAAAAGTATCAGAATCGTTATTACTTTACATAATTATAAAATAATCGCGTAATCTGACAGCTGAGATATGATCACATATGAACAATGTAAATATGCAGATTTCGGTTTATTTGACTTTGGTGCCCAAGTTACGCCATGCAGATGTTTTGTTTTACAAAAATTTAACTGTAATAGTAACTTTGATTTATTATTATAATATAGGCAATAAAAATGCATAGGGATTTAATTTTTCACACACGTTAACATAGAAAACATTATAACAATTATAATATTATCACCTTTGCCGTTGTTTTTCGATTTAATCAACAGCCATTAATTAATCTCTTTCCGGTACAGCTCGGTTCTTAACTACAGTTATTTATGAGAGCAGTGCTCCGTTTTTTTCGTACACCCACGATTGAGTCAATACATAAATATACCTGGTTTTTTTTTTTTTTTTTGTTAATTTGGTTAAGATACACGATTATATGTAATTGTACAGAAAAATAATTATTTTTCTGTACAATAACATATACGTTGCTAATGAAATATTGGTGTTACATGTCATTATGACATTCATTGTCTAGGCGTGTGCTTGTTTATGTTAGTTTTACATGCGAACCTAATGTGGCCAAGCGCATCGGAGCGTATACTTGATTTTTTGAACTAAGAGCTCATATATTAGTACGAAACTATAAAATTTCATTATTTATAAGAGGATCGACCAGATATAGAGTGAAAAGTATTTAAATTTAATGAACGACATTGAATTCTATTAATCATTGGAAAAATATAAATTATGAAGATTTCAATTGAATCAGTCATTTCAAAAAACTCATAAAATTTAGATTTAACAGGAACCAAAAAATAGTTAATTACTCCAGAAATTCAACTTTTTCGCACTTAACCTTATTTATTTTTAAGGTTTCTGATATTCATAATCCATAGTTTTAAACAGTCTAACGTTGACCAAAATACATTAATTCGAGATAAAAACATATCTGACATTCGTTGTTTTTGCAGCGAATAGAAACTTATAATATAAAATCTAAATCAAGCACTAAAATAGATAAACACAGAAGTGTTATGACACAAACCGAAATAATTCTTTAAAATAAAATATTTTTTCCTAAAATAAATAAATTAACTTGCCTTAACCTGGCAAAAAGTAACAAAACTTAAAACGACTTTGATCGAAACTTAACAAAAAACAATAAAATTGTATTTTGTCTTTTGTTTAATAAACCATTGTACCTTTCATAATAAATATTCTTTTACAAAAAATAAAATATTTCTTTTCTCTTATACAACAAATACCCAACTTGACAAAATTGACACGGCTACGCGTCACTTCGTGATACACGATGGCCCGCGACTCGTGCCACTTTTATCAGCCGTCGCCCTACTGTGAGTATTTGACGGGCCGACACCGCGTGCCATACGCCATGGTGCAAAGTCCAGCAAGTGCCACACGGCCCACGACGGCCTGCCGCAAATGATACGTTGAGTCTTCTTTCCGTTGTCAAAGTGACAACGTCGAGGGTGTACGCCACCGGCTCCGGACGTGCCGCACGACTGGACTCGATCCGCACTCGCACCCCGTCGCCCTCAACGCTGCTAACTTTTTGACTCCCGAGGATCATGTTTTGGCACCGC